TTGGACACATCTGCTCCAAGCACTATGACATGATTGATATTCCTATAGATTTATACAATCTTTGTATTAAGTGGGTTTTGTGTGAGCCAACCCCTGATCTCTGACTTCCAAGATAGAGGCCATCCATCTTTACTCACCCCGTACACTCTCCAACACTCTCTCCAGCAACTTGACAGCTACATATTAAAAGAAGGTTATCACAGTTGCCAGTTTTGAAGCACAACTGCAGCTCCATATTAAGTTGCCCAGTTATTAAGGTGGCAACATAAAAGTACAATGGGCAGCTCTTATACAGCCTTGCTTGCTTCACGTGACTCTGCAGCTGACTATGTCAAATTAGGCACCAAGGACAGTTTGATGCAAACAAGAATAAGATCAAACAGCTGCTCTCTAATAAGAACACCTCACACATTAGACTTCTCAATGACACATCAAAGCCCTGGGAGCAGAAACAATTTTAAAGCTTTATGCAATTTGACCAAGGCACACCTACAAGAAATGAAGGCTGCAGAGAAAAAAAAGCCTAAGAATAGGAGATCTAGTTTTTGCTGGTATGCAGACCTGGAAGTGCTTTTATGAAGAGATAAAATCTGGTCATGTTCCTGTGCGTTAGTTCTCCTTTGTAGCTTTGATGGGTGTTCCCCACTTACGTAAAAGAAGCAAACTGCTGGCACATGGGCAGGATGTGTGATCTTTTTATTGAGCTGCTCCTTTTATACTGAAGAGCCTGTCTTCAATGACACGTTCGTGCCTCAACTAATGAAGCAGAGAAAACTCCAAAGGCCATCCATCATGATAAAATCTTTTTTTTATATTAAAATTACTTTACCTGGTAAGCCAAATGTGGGAAAGAGTGTGCCAGGAGCCCAAAGAAGATCTATAAAAGAGTAAAGATGATTGTATCTGAGATAGCACCAGAGCCAGCACTGCAACTTTTCTCTCTGCCACACCTGGGAAACAACTACCTGGGAACGTCCTCAATTATTCAAATAGCCACTTGGTAGACAAAGTAGTGCCAGAGGACTGATGCAGTTTTTTTGGCTACCATAGTTTCACTGGACTAAGCATTTTATCAGGAGGCAAGACTTCTCTGTCTTTCGCTGATTATAGATGTGTATACACACGATTTACTTCTGGGAAGAGAACAGCTTGAAGCCAAAGAAGCCCCAAACTTTTCAATGACATGTAAAGTTCTGCCTTGAAAGTTTGTCAAACATTAAGAACAGCAATGAAGTGTTTTGAACTAAGAGGTAAATTTGTTACTATGTTACTACAACTGGTAACAGCTGCATACACACAGCTAAGGAAGGAAGAGGAAGCTCTTGAGGAATCCAGTCCAGTTATTGAGAGCATACGTGCTTCATTTCACCACCACACCTGCCCCACCCACACGGCTTTGTTGCTCGAGAGTGCACACACGGGGCACTACAAGAAATAGGCAAATTATATCCAGTCAGTCAGTTTGCTGGGTAATCGCTAAACCCTGGCTAGAGATTACCACCTCCATTTGCTCTCTACACGAAACTTGACAACCACTCACTCCTCCATGAGTCACTGCCAACACAGCGCTGGCAAACAGGACTAACAGCACTGGCCGGTCTCACCGTGCCCAGACTCCAAGGGCTCTATAACCCCACGCTCAGCACTACTGGCACATCTTCACCGGGTGCCGCGCCTGCACTGCCACGTTTACCGCGTCACCACACAGCCACGAAGCAGCACCTGCTGCCTGTGCCCTCACAGGCCGAGGCAGCAGCAACACCGCCCCGCCGGCCCGGGGAGCGCTCGGCTCTTCCGCCACTGTAGGGGAGCGGTATGGCCGCAGCCAATAAACAGCTCTTCTGCCTGACGGACAGCAGGGAGGGGCCATGCTAGCCAATAGAAGAGCGGATAGGGAGGGAGGTGGGGAATGCCAGAACCCAATTGAAAACCTCTCCGGCCCTGGGGGGCGGGAACAAGAGTGAGATTCAGTCACGGACTGAACTCTTCCTCCAATCAGAGCGCCTTCCCCCATTGCGCTCCCCGGATTGGTTACCGGGTGGAAGGCGGACCTTAGGCCGCCCTTCTCCCCAATAGGAAGGTAGCACTGCGTGACAGGCGTTCGGCTCAGCCAATCACTGTCGGCACGGAGGCTTCAACCTCTCTTCCTTGCAAAATGGCGGCTACGGCGCCCAGCGCGGCTCCACCCGCGACAGTCCCGCCGCAGAGCCCGACAGCGGCTCCGGCCACCCCGGCCGGGAGCGCCCCCCCCGCAGCCGCGCCAGCCCCGCCTGCCGCCCCGGCTCCGCCGCCGCCGGCCGCGCCGCTGTCAGCCGCGCTCTCGGGCCCCTTCCCCGGCGGCCGCGTGGTGCGGTTGCACCCGGTCGTGCTCGCCTCCATCGTGGACAGCTTCGAGCGGCGCAACGAGGGCGCGGCGCGGGTCATCGGGACGCTGCTGGGTAAGACCCGCCGCCGCCCCGCCGCGGCCTGGGGGCGAGCACCCCCCGCCGCCCCCTAACCCGCTGCTCTCCCTCCTGCAGGGACCGTGGACAAGCACTCGGTGGAGGTCACCAATTGCTTCTCCGTCCCGCACAATGAGTCCGAGGATGAGGTAGGGAGCCGGCCCGGGGGGGGGCTCTGGGCTCTGCAGATGGGGCTGGAGCCTGAGCTGCTCCCGCCCAGGGTTAAATAGCCCTGTAACCGCTGACTCGGCCCTGTCCCGTTTCTCAGGTGGCAGTCGATATGGAGTTTGCCAAAAACATGTATGAGCTGCACAAAAAGGTGTCTCCTAGCGAGATCATCTTGGGCTGGTAAGTTCTTCTGCAAGAACACACAAGCAGTTATGTTGGTCCCTTAAACTACTTGAAATACATAATTCAGCTTGTCATAGATGGAGAAGCAGAAGCACTAATGGTTGTGACAGTAAGGTCTTGCAACTCTTGTTCCACAGTCAGGAGTAAAGCTCCTCCAATTCATAAAAAGGAAGAGAGAGTATTGGAGACTTACAGGGTTTGGTTTGGTTTATGTCTAGCAAAGTATCACAGAGAAGTGATGAGTTAGAAAATGGTTTCACGGCTTTGTTAGAACATACTACTTGTGATACATGGAAGTTAACTGGTTAGAAAGAAGGGAGAACACAAAAGAGTAGTTTCAAGTACCAAAGGCGTCAGAGGGAATCACTGATACCAGCTGGAGTGCATAGTTCTCTGCTGAGAAAAGGTTGAAGTACTTGTGTGTTGGTTGCAAAGCAAGATCAGTACATTTATATGGGAACAGAGTGTGTCTGAGTGTGTGACACAGTGTGTTTATTAGTCTTTTCTTGCCTCTCTCATCCTACCAAATAGCTTTGTTCTGTTCCTGTGGAGCAGACTTCCTCAACAACCTTCTAATGGCACAGTAAAGTGCAGTTCTGATGACAGGACTTTCCCTGTGGATGTGAGACACTAATTGCAGAGCAGTTAAAGGAGCCAGATGAACGAGTTATACCTCCTGCAGAGAGATGTTTGATTTGTGGAAGACAAAGCTGGTCTGAATTTGTACAGAAGTAAAGAGTTGGTCCAGAACACAGTGACAGATAAGTGAATATGGGGTGTCTGATGTCAGTTGTACCGACATTTTTATGGCTGGTACTGCAACACCAGCCCCGTGCATATTTTGGGCAAGGGTGTGCTCAGCCTGTGATTCCTACAATTCCAGGACAGGTGGCCATAAAACTACAGAATCCCTAGTTAAAACACTTGTATTTAGTATGCTGCTGCAGCTCACTGTTTGGAAATCAGTGGTTTATCATACAAACCTGTTAAATACCAACAGTACGGAAGAGCAGGCACTTGAATGTTGGAAGAATGGCTCCTCAACATGTGTTCTTTTGAAGGTATGCAACAGGCCATGACATCACGGAACACTCAGTCCTGATCCACGAGTATTACAGCCGGGAGGCGCACAATCCAATCCACCTCACTGTGGACACAAGTCTCCAGAATTCACGCATGAGCATTAAAGCCTATGTCAGGTACTTTGGGAGGCTGCATTTCTGCAGGGGAGCTGTGGGAATTACTGAGAGACACCCCTTCAGGGTAACAAGTAATGTCACGGACTGCAGTGTCCCATTTTGGACAATACTGGGCAGTAGCTAAAACACAGTGGTGAGCCAGGGACCATTGCTTACTTCTCATTGGAATGTCTTGACCACTGGATGTAGGTTGAAAGACCTAACCTTTCATAAGCTGGTACCTCACTGGGGTGGGGAATAGTGACTTAATTAGCAGCGTTCTGAACATCTCTGGGACATTTCACAGGATTCACACAGCTAGCAGTAATGTCACTAACTTCATCACACTGACTGAATGCTAGCCTGTAGCCACTGGGTTTATTTATACAAGTTGGAGGATTAGTGTGGTTAAAACATAATTGAAACAGCATGTTCTTGATGAGTCTTTCTTCCCTTTAACCCTTTCATTTTTGTCAATTAATGAAGATTAAATATTGAGAAATTAAACTTTTCCACTTCACTGAATTCTTCCCAGTATTGGCTGAAGAGCTCTCCTCTGTAAGATAAAAATCCCAAGCCTTTCTTTGTAGAGAAGGTACTGCTTCTTGACTGTGCAATTTCAAAAAGGGAGTTGTTCCACGACATATTACTTGAAGCATAATGGATTTCAAATACTTTGAATATTAGGATTAATAAATGTGTTGAGAGTGCTTTGAACTTGAATTTTGCCATATTTGTTTGTTCCTTCAGTGATTTCTCAAAGTATTTCAGGATAGAAGAATACCTGCTCTATGAGCAAGGAACTCTGGTTAAGATCATAGTACTTAGCTCTTCATGCATTCATGCTGACAAATGTCAGACAGCTAGGAATATTCTTGGATGAAAATGGGCAATTAATAGCATGCCAGAACTGATTTCCTGTTCTCAGTTATCCTTAGTCATAAAATTGCTGATTTTGGTGAGAATGAGTAACCTACTCATGTTCATGCTTTAGTGCTAAGAGAGATCACTGAGATGGAAATCTATTTCTTCCTCCTTTATATATGTCCATGCTGAAAATGTTTTGTTCTTTTTTTTTTCCTAGTGCCCCAATGGGAGTCCCTGGTAAAACTATGGGCGTGATGTTCACACCCCTAACAGTGAAATATGTTTATTATGATACAGAGCGGATAGGAGGTAAATGCTTCTTCCCTATTTTGGTTATAACCATCGTTGTGACACTGTTCAAATGCTTTTTTTTACCCTGGTAAAATTGCCATTCTGGGAATTCTACTGGGAATTAGACTGTCTTGCTAAAGCTGTCCTAAAAAATCTTCAGCTGGGTTCTGTGACAGTTTTTTTCATCGATTCTCCTTTGGCTTTCAGTGGATCTCATCATGAAGACCTGTTTCAGCCCTAATCGAGTGATTGGCTTGTCCAGTGACTTACAGCAGGTGGGCTCAGCCTCAGCCCGGATCCAGGATACCCTGACCATGGTGCTGCAGTACGCCGAGGATGTGTTGGTAAGGCCAGCTTTTTAGCAGCCGGAAAATAAGTTTGATGTAAACTTGGGCATCTCCTTTTTCTTTTTATATTTTCTCTTTCTGGGCCATAAACTTACTGAGTTTTACTCATGTGAAGTGTGTGTTTTTATGCTTAGTCTGGCAAAGTGGCTGCTGACAACACTGTTGGGCGCTTCCTGATGGATCTTATTAACCAGGTGCCAAAGATTTCACCAGAGGACTTTGAGACAATGTTGAACAGCAATATCAATGTAAGTTCATAATTTAATTTTTTCTGTGAATTGCCAGCAATTTTGAAAATTTGTCATACAGACACAAATTTGTCTGTGATCAAAACAATCTTTTCATACAAATGTGTTAGTAGCCCTTTGTTGTCAGGGCTGAAGGTGGATAAAGGAGCTCACCATAATAATATTGCAATCAACTGCAGATGAAAGAAAAAATTTTAAAGTAGTTAGGAATTATGCAAGTAATCTGCAAACCAGCACCAATTCTTCTTTCATTTTGATTGGACAATAGGAATTACAAAACTTAAAAAGTTTGAGTTTCAAGGATAACTGTTGACTTGACAGCTTCCTTTGCCTGAGCTGAAGTTCTGTCTCCTTGCATAGCACTTAGGACTTGAACAAGGTTCTAGCATGCTACCTTAGTTTTCTCTTTCTACAGAAATAAGTTTCTGAATGTGTTTTTCACCCACAGTCTGTAAGACCAGAACTAATTTTTAATTTTGCCTATACCCTTTAACTTGCCTGGTTAACATAGGTGAACTTCAAGTTAAAATTTCACAAGCTGTGTTTCATTTTCCAGGAATACCAAAAGCTTCCTGCAAGGGAAGCATTCCTCAGGGTAGGACTTTCAGGACTAACAATATTTCTAGTAGCTGATTGTAAAATGCTTTACAGGTGTTAAAAATTCAGCTCCCTAATATACTACAATCTTTGTTCATATTTCTGATCACTGTTATTTTCCCCCTCTTTCAGGACCTACTGATGGTAACCTACTTGGCAAACCTCACACAGTCACAGATTGCTCTGAACGAAAAACTTCTGAGTTTATAAAGAAACTGTTGCCATCCTACACTTAAAGGAGCCCGAAGAATGAGTAGATACACTTTTCTATGGTGTTACAAACTTCCTTGGACCGTAATTTAATTACCTACATGACTTGGTTTACATCTTTATTCCCACTGCCCTGAAAAATCCCTAACATGCTTCAGGAAATGAATGGGAATGGCTGCAGTTCAGTTGAGCCTGATATTTTAAAATGGAATATGAGAATCTTTTGTCTCCTGGGTTTATCGACTTGTATAACAAAATACAGCTTTATTGTAAGAATGTATTGGGAATAAAAGTTCCATTGCAGTGGCAAGAATGGCTTCTGTCTGGAAGAAACTGTTCTCATTTATTGTGTAATGAATCCACTTTTAAAAGAAAGGGAGGGGGTAGCATGGCATCAGGAAAGAAGTAGATGCAAATCAACTCCAGTTCTGCAGACTTCTTTGCAAGGTTTTTTTTCCAACTGTTAAAGCACACTGAAAGTGTGGGGTTTTGTGTTGCATGTAATATGCTTTACCATGAAGGACTACAGAGTGGTCACTGGTTTATTAGTGGTGCTGTGTATATTCCTTCAGCAGGGTACTGACAGAGTATGAGATAGTAAATTCAGTTTATGATATAATTTCTATGCATCTGATTATTTTATGATCTTTTGGGAAAGGACGTCAAAATCAAAAGCATTAGCCCCTCATAAAGTGAGGGTTCAGAGAATTAGAGCCAGCAAATGTGTTTATGGTAAAAGGGCTTGAAAAGCATTTGTGGCTAAATAAGTGTGCTTCCTGGAGTTTCATCTTTGCCAAAGAAGAAAGGGACAGCAAAATGACAGTTCGTGAAATTTGGTGTTAAAAGTTGCATGTCATCAAATAGGAATTTTATGTTTCATAACCCTGTACTCCTGCTAAAATTATGCAAACAGAAACCTCATTTTCTCCCCAAGACATATTTCATGTTAAATGAGTTCTAGCTGAGTGAATACCAATATTATCTGCAACTTTACACAGTCTCAGCTAATAACATCACCTTTAGAAGGCTGTTCAGCTGTACTGAGGAGGTTTACCTAATGGAGTTAAGGCATCCCTCTTCTAAGACATACCTGTTCCCACCTAACTACTTATGACTGTTTCAGTGAATGAGTTTGAAATGTTGGAGAAGTATGCAAAGACAGTGTTCCCCAAAATAATTGCTGTCCTAATTTGTCAGATAAATCTCCAGAATAAGACTCAGGTTACAAATCTAGATCCTGTACTGGTTCCAATCTAGAAGAGTTCCCCCAGTGACTCAATGCCAGATTCTAAGTTCTAATTGCAAGGACAATATACATAAAAACTGAAGGTATAACAAAGATCCCCATCTCATTTGAAAATCTTACTTGTGAGCATTAAATAACTATTAGGACTCAACTCCTGGTTTTTATTACTCCGAATAAAAATGTTTTGCTTTCCCTTCTCTTCTTTAAACTTGATATTCTTAACTTCAAGCATTTAACGTTTCACAAGGTTTTTTAAAGTAAGTTTTGACATTGATGGAGGAAAAGAGCAAGCAGCAAAGGTGGGTAAGTCAATTACTGCAAAAACGTTGCAGGGGGGAAAGCATAATATTCTTTCCCTAATCTCCTCTGCAGGAAACTCTTTGCCATTCCCTGTTAGGAAAGTGAGAAAATATAAGAAGAAAGATTTTTAACACTGCAAGTTGAATAGCTATGCTGTTTAATAAGCTGGTGTGCACAACATGCAAAGTTCTGAGATGAAAGAATCAATTTGTGATCATTGTGTAATTTGCCAGTCCTTGGAAGTACCTGAAGACTAATGAAGACATATCATAAGGGACTGAGGTTATGGCTTCCTAGCTAAAACGATTCACTTCAAAGCAGCTGTCTGAAGAGACCAAAGTCCATGGATTTAGGTGTATGCCAGACAGTACAGTGCCAAATGCTAGGAACTGGAGTGGGAAAAGAGTTTCCCTTTAAAAACTAATCCCATCTGTTGTGTCCTTGTGAACGGACACATGGTGATCCTTACTTTGACTCTGGAGTTTTGAATGCCTGATTTCAAATTTCAGTGGCCACTCTTGTGAAGGACACATTGCAAACACAGATGTAATGCATCATTGTGCTTAATTGTAAAGCCTTTGCTGTGTTATTACCTAAAAGGCATTCCTTCTCTGGAACTGTAAAATGTAGACAGGAATTAGTAAAGGTATTCTATTAGAATTGTTCCAGTGTACAGAAATCTATCTAAAAATTTGAAGTTCAATAGAAAATCTGGTGGGAAAAGCTTCAGAGTCAAGAAACATCAAGGATTTCAAGCTTTAACTTACTATTGATTTGTAAACCACATGGATTTATTAGGGGACTTTTCTCCTTTTTTTGTTTGATTGTTTAGGATGTGTTGCTCCAAGTAACTTTGACAAAGTTAGTTTTAAATAGCTGAGATAGATAATTCTCTGGATATGCTTCTGTACATTATATTTAGTCACATTAGTGATCTCACTAATATAATAAAAGCTCTTCTATCTTTTGGTGTGTTCATTTTCTTCAGTGGCTTCTCTGAATGAGTGCAACATTGCTGGACGTTCTGGTATTACATGTTTATTTGTGGCAATCAGTTGAACTGATCTTGGGGTTTTACCTCACTATGAAGTTCTCCTTGAACACTTTTCCTCAATATACATAACAATATCCAGAACAGAGTACAATATTACAACTGATTCTCTTGTTCCCTTTTGGTAGAAGTTGGAGGACTGTATAAAATCAGTCCACCTTGTTGCCTTGGGCCCTTCTCAGACATGTAATCTCAGTCAGCTTCAACAAACCAGAGTTTCAGCAAAGCACCTCTGTGCAGTACAGAGGCAATGAAACCTTATGGTTTTTTCAGTGAGCATGGTGACTTCTGACAATCTGCAGTTTAATTAGCACACAGATATTATGCTTTGCTCTGATATCTTCCTAGCGTAGTAAGGCTGTGCTGGTTCACATCTGTCAGAGTGCATGTAAAACATGCAAGCACATGAAAGCACGCTGTGTTACTTATCAAAATCAAGAAGAACTATCTTTAACAGAAATGTCTTCATAAAATTTAAGGAGGAGCTGGTAATGCTCCAGTATTTCTTAACTCAGCAGTACGAAGTTCTATATTGTTGGGAATAACAAACTTTATCTGCAATTTGAAACTTAAAAAAAATCTTTCGTTCCAGAATTATTATTTCATTTGGTGGTTATTTCCGTATACTGGGATGAAGGTCACTAAGTTTGCTTTGTTAGTTGAGTCATTTGAGTTTTTTGGCAGAACACTTAAGTCTGCTGCAAAGAGGAAGTAGTGTTTTGGTGTGTGAATTTGTGAACGTGTGGACATACGCCATGTACACCTGAAATGCATGGCTTTAATCCTAAGGTTAATGGTGAAAAATGTTACACATATTACTCTTTTAGAGCAGTTAAGCAGAACAACCTGCTGTTCTCCTCCTGTGCTCTGAGGAAGGATGAAGTTTCTATTTCCACACAACGGAACTATAAACCCATTGGCAACTCAGTTGTAAGGACTGTGTGAAATCCTAAGATTTGGACCACAGCGGGTGGAGCACTAACATGAGTCACTGGGCAATGACTCTCCCTTGAGACACTAACCAAACTCACAGCTCCTCCTGAAGTGAGCTGAACGTGCTCCCTGCACACATGGAGGGTTAACTCAACAGCCAAGTGGGGTTATGTGCATTTTAATGACTGCAGTCACAAGGCAGTCTAACAGGAAAAGTATTTTTAGTACATAATGTAGACTTGGACCACTTCAGTATCCTGTTGGTTTGTTATACTTTGACCTATGGTTCAAAGCTGACCAGAACTTCTTTCTTACAACAAACTGAGGGAAAGTTTTTCTGTTTTTAATTTAATTGTATTGGCTGGAATAGAACATCAAAGTAATGCTTCTTATTATTTAAGTGGGGAATAATGTTCCAATTAGGATATATAGGAGGAGCAGCAATGCTTTAGTGACCTATACCACCAACAATAAGTTTCTCTGGAAAAAAAGAATAATTGTTTCAGCTCTATTGATAGCACTCAGTTAGCACTGTTATGAAGTGGAGCCAAGTCACTCCAGATCAGAATTCTGTCCAGTATCATGTCTTAGGAGCAGATGTAAGAATATTACAAAAGAGAAGAACAAGAGTTTGTCTCTTAAATTCACTGAACTTGAATTTTCTTATAATGAGAAGTTGCCTTGACTGTGCGTGGGGTTTTAGAAGGTTTCCTAAATGTGCAGGCTCCAGCTACACCAAAAAGCTGAGGGATTTCCTTTAAATATAGGGAGTCAAATTAGATGACCACAATGGTTCCATTTCATGTTCTAAAAAAGTAATTCCAAACATTCCTGCTGACACTAATATTCAGTAACAGATTCTTCAGACATTTGTCAGTCACTTTGTTGAAATATTTTCTCTTCTTCCTTTCATGCTCTGTTTCTAAAACAAATTGCTCTTTTCCTAAATAGCTCAAATCCAAATGGTCCACTAAATGGAAGACGAGAAAAAGAATTGTGTATTTTATAAATGTAATTGGTTCCCATGGAAACAGGGATTTAGATATATACCTCTCCTGAAAGAAATGTGTTTAACAGAGGTAAAATAAAGTAGACAGACACTTGGAGTGTCAGCTGAAGAATGCTGTGAGGATTAAATTCTTAAAGCCACTCCTGCTGTGTTCTGGGCAAACAAGAGAGAACAAGCCCAGTTTTTCTAGATAGGTAATTTATCAGATTCTTTATGTGGCTTTAGGTGCTCTTCATTTGAAGCAAGCAAGTAAGCATAGTAAATTATTACCCACCTATTTTCTGCTGCCTGCACTTCATGCTGTTTTACAGACAAATAAAACAGTGGCTGTTGTTTCATCTAGAACTGAAGTGCTGCACCAGATTACAGGAAAAAAAACCTGTTCGCATTTGAATGGTCTCTGAACTGCTAACGTGTTTATCATAAAAAAAGATATTTTGAATAACCTCAAGTAACTGGTGCATAATATCATAGGTGGATCCTTCCTAAATTGTATCTGGCTGGTCAGAATGTCTTATGAATAAACCATCAGGTAACGTGTATGTAATATCTATTCAGAGTACACTATGAATTAGCATTACAATAGACAGAAACTAAACACTACACTTCCCTAATTACCTACAAATAACTGTAATTAAGATTTCTTTCTATAAAACTGTATGTAGTGGTCAGGACAATCTTTGGTCCTCTTGGGACCTAGATCCCAACTACATCAAAACTACATCCCAACTACATCAAAAGCAGCAACTCCTCCAGCTCCATCCCCTTATGTATTTTATATTCTTTGCGTGTTACACGCAGTTCTGAGGGCCTAGGTGACTTGACTGACTCCCTGATGGCTACTGAATGATGATGTTGATTTAAAGACTCAAGTGTTACTGCATTACAGATTCGATTTAGAGGTACACCCCTTAGGGCTGAACTCCACTGCAGTGGTGCTACAGGAAAGCTGCAGTGTGGACTTCTCCCTCCTTTCCTAGCAGGTGGCACAGGACTCCCGGGCGCTTCCCTGGCACAGCTCCACTGGCGAGTCACTCTGCGTTTGTGGCACTTGGGCCTGTGAACTTACCTCTCATCCGTCCTGCGGGAGAACTGGGCACATCGCAGCTTTCCTTCAGCGAGACGGGACGAGCCCGCACAGGCAGCAAAGGGCCGTCACCGCCAGGACCGGGCGCGGCCGCCGGGCCCGTGGGCCGGGCCGGGGCGGGCTCGGTGCCGGGGGCGGGGCGGGCACCGCCGGCCGCACAGGCTCCATTTTGCGGTGTGGCTGCGGAGGGAGTCCGGAGGTTCTGCAGGTTCCTCTCAGGTGAGGCGGCGGTGGGGAGGGGGGGGGAGAAAGGGAGGAGCCGGCGGGCCCAGACTCGCGCGCCCCTCGCCTCAGGCCCCGGCCCGGCAGAGTCTGTCACACCGCCCCGGGGGCTCGGCCCCAGCCCCGGCTCTGCTCACACACCGTCCCGAGGGGCTCGGCCCCAGCCCCGCTGCGCTTTGCTCCGCCCGAGCTGGATGGAGCCCGGGGCAGCGCTCCCGGAGCCGCGGCCGTCCCCGCTCAGGGCTCGCAGATGTCCGGCCGAGGGAGGCGCCGCCCGCCTCAGGGAGCCGCACTCGCGGCCGGGGCTGCCCTCCCGCTGGAGGGGGACCAGGTCAGGTCGCCTCAGGAGAATAGGTAGCGGGATACGGGATACGTGCCCCGCCCGCAGCTGCGGCTCGCCAGAGGGCTCAGCCAGCCCGGGGCTGGTGGCGGAGGGCGCGGGCGGAGGCCGGAGCGATGCCCGAAGGAGCTCAGCCGCGGGCAGAGCGGGGCCGGGCGGGGCCGCGGGGGTTGCGGGGCGGGGCCGGGGGGACGCGTCCGTGTGTACCTGCCGAGCCCCTGCACTGCACTCCGAGCGTTGCGCGTCCGCTGATCTGTCACCGTCAGAGCCACATCTGTCCCCCCAAGAGAGATCCCCTCCTCGGATTTCCATTTCAGCCCGCAGAGAACGGGCGGGTGCTCTTGGCCGGCGCCGCAGCCGACTCACCCTCGGACTCCTGGCTTAACCCGCCCTGTGCCCGTCCGGGGACAGCGGGGGAAACCGCAGTCTGACGGGGAAATCTGTTGTTGCCTTGGTTATAAAAGTAGTCAAGTCAGAGCCTCTGTCCTGCTTGAGGACGCTTGTGCCAAATTTAAAGTCCATTTAAGCAGCGGTCAGTAATAAATACTGTACAGGTACTGGTTTAAGGTGTTCCTTAGGGAAATAAATCGCCATAAGCAGTGGTTATGATTAAAGCGTAGATTTGCAAATACACCTTATGTTGTTTTTTCCTTTTATTTATTTGGAAGTGATGATCCAGGTCTATCAGCGTGAGATGGAGTAGCAGTGCTTCTCTGCAAGTTGTTTTTGAGTCTTCTTTGAACAATTCTATGCAAAGTTTTAAGGTTTTCCATATCAAGTCTCAGACGTTTAGTTCTATGTCCATCTACTCTCTTAATGGTCCAGTGCAGTAAGAATTCTGCTTTCAAATTCATTTGGTTTGGCCAATGAATACCTAGAAATGTGAATAATCATTTGCTGTATTGCATTCATTTTTATATGTGCCAGGTCCTCTGATTTGTGCATCTAAGGTCCACACTGTCTTAGAAACATGCCATGAGTAACCCCCAGGCCCTGATCAAGGAATCTGTCTGATTAGCATTAACATGATTTTTTTCCCTGCCATTAAACGTTTCATAACCTGGCTAATGGTCTTGAATCTCCCTGCCCAACTCGTTGGCAACATGGGGGATGATCTCTGTCCCTATTCCCCAAGTCCCTCTGTTAAAAATGAGACTAAAATAAACACCGGCATGAAACAGAAATCTGCTACACAAATGAAGTAATGCTGAGGGATTACACCTATTCCTGTCAAATTACCATTTTCCATGGGATAGACAGAGTCCTGCTCTTCTCTCAGGAACTGCCCTTGTGAGCAGAGGAGTGCAGGGTGATGGGAGACAGGTGCTTGGTGCAGTGTGGGACTGGGGTCTGCACTGTTTCTGTCCTGGCAAAGGGCTCAGCTCCCTCCTGCTGGCACCTCAAACTGTATCCTGTATTTCAGAGTTCTTTCTGGAGGGTCAAGCCTCTTAGCATGCTTCAATGTCTATCTGACCCTAAATAAGTATGGTAGTTAATTACAGAGTTGAAGATGCTTCCCTTCTGAATTCTGATACCTGTGGTCAGATGTATAAAAAGAAAGGAAAAGATTTGTGGGTTAACAGCTGACAAGTACAAGCAATTCTAAACCTACTAAACATATTCTTCAAGTGATTTAACAGGTAATTAGCAAGAAAATATCAACTACAAACTCATATATAGTGCCTTCACAGCGAAAATACCTTTTTTTTCTTTTTCTCCCAGAATGTCATACCCAGGTTATCCCCCTTCTGATGGCTACCCTGCTTTCCCTGGTTATCCTGTAAGTATGGCTCTTGAATGTGTTTCATTCCTAATGTATTTATATTCTGTAAATACCCCTTCTTACTGTGCCCTGTGTGAGTGTAAATACTAGCTGTCAGTTCATATACAATGTTCTGTAGAGATTATGGTCTTTGTTTTCCTCTGTGTATCCCTGAGGATGACTTTATAGCTGTCTCAAAGATTCCAAGAAGGAAGTTTGGGTTTTTTTTTTTAATTATGCCTGTTCTAGAAAGGTTTTTGATTTTTTGATCTTATTTTACCTTTTTCTGGTGAGTTTGGTTTTTTAATATAGCTAATTATCTCAACAATTCTTTTTTGTTTGTTTGTTTGTTTTTTTCCTTAAAGTTTCTTCTATAAATATGAGGGTCTTTACATACAGGGTCAAAGGTAATCTCTGAACCTGTCTCTACCAAATACTTGCTTATCCGTATCCCAGGATTTACAGAGATGCTGAACAAACTTCAGTGGTCATAGCTCTAAGAGCTTGGAATGCTTTACTCAAGCAGCCCAGCTTTCATATGACACCAAGTAAATATTCTGAGGATAGAGGACACTGTATCTTGACTTGGACCCTCTATCCTTCAGCCACAGGACTGTTTCACTTTCAGCTCACAACTGAATGGACTAAAAATTTAAATGAAACTTAATGGAAGGCTGATCAGGTGTAGCTGATACTGCAGTGCTTTTGATATGCCTGCATCATTTTTCAAAGCTAAATTCATCTGTGCTTTTATGGCACTGATCATGGCACTTTCCTGGCCTCGTAATTGTGTGAATGTTACTTGTGTTTTATGTAGTACAGAACTAGATTTAAAGTCTGTCAAACTAAAGACAAACATGCTAGAAACAAGACTTTATTAAATTCAGGATTTCTCTTCTCCCCTCATGGTTCTGCTGAACCCTCATGATTGTAGCTGTAGTTTATTTTTAACTACATCTGAAAATTTTTTCCTTAGCTAGCATCTAAAACATAACCAATTTCAATGGATTAATTTAAAAGACCTCTTAGATTTGGTATCAACAATTCTAGATTTCCTATCTTACTGGTGATGCTAAAGTGACAGTCAGTTAAAAAAACCTATGTGAAATTTTCTTCTGCAGTACTGATAGTTATCTGGGCAGGGCTTTTGAGGATCCTAATTTTGGAATTGTGAATCTAAATTCCATTAAAATCTTTTGTCTGGTAGAGAAATATCAGAGTGTACCTCTGGGGAAAAGAATATTATATAGCCTGGACATAGTAATTTAGGGGTAGAAATCTTGGGGCAACCAAACCCAAGGAGAACATTTGAGCTAGGCCTTACTGTCTGCACTTTATTTCTGTTTTCTGAGGTCAAGACTGAATGTGTACTGTATGTAATGGGTGACCCGTATTTCTAAAAGTTGTCAGTAAAGATGATTCCCAGCAAGTGAGTGATGAGTCCATACATTATGCTTCATTATGAAGGTGATTTTAAATATATGATTTCTAAGATCAATTATATGACATTTACCTTACAGGGTTTTCCTTAGAGATCCAGGTTGTTCAAGTAAATATTTCTAATGTATGTTAATGCTAATAGCAGCCTTTGTGGTATGGCTGGTAAATCATACATATACCAAAACAAAGGCATACAGATATTTGACTTGTTCTTTTTATTTAAAACATGTAATACGTCTTCAGTCTTGAGTCAGTGGTCCAGATTTAGTCATTGAATGTCCATGCTTTATAACCTGGATTCCAAAGGAAAACCCCACCACCTCTTCTAAGTTCTCACCCTGTAACAGTTTGAAAACACTGTTTGTGCAGTAGAGGCAGAAGTTTCCAAGGTTCTAAACTCTTAAAAGTCCTGTAACAGGAGGTGAGCTCCTAATGATTCACAGAGAGCAAGCTAAGCTGAGCTCACCTGTTCCTTATGTGGGATAGAAGGAGCAGATTTCCAGTATGTTCTGATAGCTGACAAATCAAATGTGGCTCAGCACTGTGTGTCCTCAGGGAAGAAGGCTTTTCACTGTGAGAGTAGTCAAACACTGGAACAGGGACCCAAAGAGTCTGTGAGTTTTCTGTTCCTTGGAGATACTAAAACTTGACAATCAGGCTTTGCATGGCCTCATCCAAGTCCAAAGCTGGCCCTGCTTTGAAGGTGGATGGAATCACAGGCCATCCAGAGGTGCCTTCCACCCTGCAGCACTCTCTGTTTTCAACTTGGGAGATGCATCAGAAAACCCAACTAGGAGGACCCCTTCCAGGCTTCAGGAATTCTGCTGCTGCTTCAAGTGCTGAATCTAATTAAACAATTTGTGTTGTTATTATACAATTGGACAGTTTGGTAGCTTGGGAGTTTTTACTCTAAGGTCCTGTTAACAGGCATACAGACATCCCATTTTTGTGTTTCAGCCGACAGGACAAGAGTCTGTCTATCCACCAGCTGGTCAGTACACCTATCCTGCTGTTCCTGGAGGATACCCTCCGGCAGGAGGAGGCACCTATCCTGCAGCACCACCCAGCGCTGGGTTTCCAGGGGCAGGATACCCTGCCCCAGGGGGCTACCCTGGAGCTCCCCAGGCTGGAGGAATGCCACCTTACCCTGGAGGTAAGATCCTTTGTTAGAGTACCACTTATGATTTCCAGAGTAACCATTCCCTGTGCTTGTTGGAAACAGTAAAGAAAAGCAGCTTTGTTCAGCGATCAGTTCAAGCAGCAGCAGGCAGGCAGCCAGACTGCCATCTAGCAGTAAATACCTGCATGCTGATGGCAGGGCCTTGATGACTCTGGGTCACTGCACAGACTGGAGAAACTAGCCTGTTGTGCAGCTCTGCTCAGGTGTCAGAAGTCAATTACTGAGGGTGCTAAAGTCTGTGTTTTCCCCTGGCTCCCACAGGCGCTGGGTTTGGTGTGCCTCCTGCTGGCCCTGCCTTTGGTGGCTATCCACAGCCTCCTGCCCAAAACTATGCTGGAGGTGGACCAGCACAAATTCCAGGTATGTCATATATAGGAAACTTCAAGCATAGAAGGTTAAACCAAGAGATCCCAGGATAGGTAGTAACAAATTAGGCCCTTACCTTTGTTACTTTTAGCTGTTGAGGTCTGTGTGCTGTTTACATCCTGCCCCCTTTCTTGACAAAGGAACTGAAGGGCTGATGAGAACCAGCTCTGCAGGTGCTACATCCAAAAGGGATGGCTGTCCCCGATTAATGGTTATGATGTAGAGGTTTAGGTGCTTGTCCTTCTTCAGACTGCAAGTATCTGATAAGAACTGTGAAATCCAGAGTCCACATACAATGAGGACTGTTAATTTGAATTGCATGAATGAGCTGTTAATCTGCATTGCATTTTCAGATCTGTGTGCTCACAGTGATCCCTGGCACACTGGGGAAGGAGGAAGGGAGAATTCACACAACTGCTTAAAAGAGTGCAGTGTTTGTAATGCTTTGAGTGGTCAGTTACCACAGGGATGATTTTTGTCCTGGAATGTGTCAGTTGTTTTTAAGAAATTCAGAGCAGCAAAATCTTTTTGTTTAATGATTGCTTGGTTAGCTCTAGTACTAAAATGGAAAGAAATGCGCATACACGTTACGAATAAAAGTAAAATTCCAGTACAAAACTTTTTTTGCAGCTTTTGTATTCACAGTGCTTTTGTTCACAAAATGAGATTCTTTCAATTCTTTTTGCATCAATGAATTCTTAATATTTATTGTTTATATGCTAGACATTTTCAAGTATATAATATGGCTTTTAAAGAAAGCATGGGACACACATTCTTATTTGTGTGGGCTGTCTTGGCTTCTGTCAAAAATAGCATGATTTAATAAGGAGAGATTCTTCCAGTTCCCACAGCACCAGTAATTTAGTATTTTTAGAATTACCTTGCTAGTGTATATATTAAAATGCATCTGTGATTGCTTCTTCCCATTGTTCCCATGGGCAAGAAGTTCAGTTACTGATCATGATAGTTTATCATTACTTAGGAAACAGGTTTGGTGCAGTGGCAGGTCTGGCTCTATATTCTGATTAGATAGTATTTCCATAGTAAGAGAAGACCTAATTAATGTCTTCTACCTTGTTCTTTCTTTTCAGTAGGATTTCCTGGTGGACAAGCACCATCCCCAATGCCTGGTCCGGTATGTGCTGTATTCTCTTCTATAATCAATCTTATGTGGTGCCTGTGGTTTTAATGTTTTTACGGCTGGTTTCCAACAGTTTACAGTGTGTTCTGCATCAGGAGTTTCCTTCTACCCTCACAGTACAAACTGAACAAGATCATAACCCTGTATGAGTGTGTTCTCAGTGATCAAGGTCTTCATCCATACAACTGGGTACAAGCAAGGCTTTGGCACTAGTGGGCCAAAGCTTTTCAACACAACCAAATGTCACCCTGATGCTGTGTTAGAGGAAGAAATGGAGAACTAATGGACAACTCCTTCTGAAGTACTGATTCCAAAGTTGTGGTTTTAATTTGATTTTATATTGTGCAGGATATCTAGTTACATGTGACTCTTATTCTCAGCCTGCAGCAATGGTTCAGGGTACCCAGGGCACAATTCGAGCTGCTGCAGACTTTGATGCTGGAAGGGACGCAGAAATTCTACGCAAAGCTATGAAGGGTTTTGGTAAGTAAGCAACAGAAGCTTTACTTTCTATTGAGCTAAATTCTTAATGCCGTTTTGTTTTTTTCTTCAAGTTTTATTTAACTATACATTTCCCCCCCAGCCTTTTCAAAAGTCACACTTTCAAAATGGTTTGGGCTATTTAGTGGATGAAGTTACATGGAAAATTTAGTGGTCTTAAATGGTAATCACTTATTATGTAACTATGCCCAAATGTAACAGTATAAAATGCAGTCTCAAAGGGACTATTTTGCATTCTTACGTGGCATTGCCCTTCTGTTTCCAAGGAACTGATGAGCAGGCTATCATAGATGTTGTCGCTAACCGCTCCAACGATCAAAGGCAAAAGATCAAGGCAGCTTTCAAGACAATGTATGGCAAGGTATGTTCACTAGTTCTTTGAATTGGTAAACCAAACCAAACTTTCAGCTGCTGCTTGAACTGCCTGGTTGCATTTTAGTCCTGAGGAGTGATTTAGGCATTTTTAAAATGCACTTCTTTTGGTTATGTAGACAGAAAATAATCAAGTTTAAACTGCCTCTGTATTAGTATCTGAAACTACTGAGTTTTTTATGCACACACACAAGCACTGAAATCTGTTCTTTCCTAAGAAACAGAGGACTGGATAGTCAAGGAAAGTCCAGGTTAATTTACTTTCTTCACTCTGTCCAAAACTCTGACAGCTTAGCTCTTCTCCATTATCTCCTCACTAATTAAGAACTAATCAGGTCCTGAAAAATGCCACAACTATAAAATTTCACTTTAAGTTGCAAAAGTGACAGTTCTTAATAAGAAATAAAACAAAGCTTTACAGGAAAACCAGCACAAAGGTAGAAATCAGTAATGAAAGTTAAGTTCTAGTTTGATTTTTTTTTTTAGCATATAAGCTATCTGCTTAACACTCTCCAAAGCCCTTTTTGTGTTTATAATTTAACAGGATTTAATTAAAGATCTGAAGTCTGAGTTAAGTGGCAATGTGGAAGAATTGATTTTAGCGCTCTTCATGCCTAGTACCTACTATGATGCCTGGAGTTTACGTCATGCAATGAAGGTATGGTATTCCTGTGAAGGAAATAGTTTTAAACTATTCTAAAATACTCATCTAAGAATACCTGGTCCCAGCATTGTTGAAAAATCCTTTAGTGTAAAACAAATCTTGGGATTACAGGGCTTAAAATTCTTTTCTATTGCATCCCTGAGTTCCAGACAATTTCTGCCAGTTGGCCAGTACAGGGCAGCTGTCCCTCCAGCAGAGCATGAAACGCTGCAGGACAGAACCTTGTTCTCTGCTACTTGAGCATAATTTTTGCTAGAGCCTAGGAAGGGCCAGGATGCTGTAAAAACCATAACCACTGTTTAGAGTGAAGGTACGTACCTCTCCTGACTAGGAGCAAACCATCGTTACTGAAAGGTGGGTTTGGATTATTATTATTTTTTTTTCCCAAAAGACAATGAAAAACTAATTTCTTAAGGTCAGATGATGCATATATATCTTCAAGTATTAAGACAGCATTAGAGATTAGGTGAGCTACTCGGTTCAGTCTTTTAACTGAGGTAAACTGGTACATCCAGTTTACCAGAATTTCTTGCTGGTGTGAGCTGTGGCAGCTGGCAGGTGGCTGGTAGTGGAGATGAGTAACTCAACCAAGTTTGAATGGAGATCTTCTAAAGAATGTGGAGCTTAAATTAAGATCTGCCTTTAATGGAGTGAATAGCCACTCAACCATTTTAAAAAATTCGTAATGTAACATTACCTAGAAGCCTCACATAGATCCACTCTCCTATCTGGTCCTTGCCTGAATTGAGATGACCATGTCATCTCACTGTACACAGAAATCTCAGTTAATTTTTATTCTGGGGAGACGGAAGCATCTGTGAAAAGTTTCATGTTGAGGAAGCAGCCACATTTGGAATGGGGAACACATTTGTATGGTGACCAAAACAGAATTTGCATGTCTATCCTTGGCTTTACTGATTATCCTAAGGCTCTACCTTCCTTCAATAAGTTTACAGATTAAGGTTGCCAAAGAATTTCCTTCATAAACCATTTTCCAGCTTTGGCTGATGTCACTGATGTATAGTTTTGGGGTGTGTTTTTGAACTGGTGCAGAATGGCATGTTTGAGGAATCTTCATTCCATTTTAAGTCTATAGAGAAGACTTAGTGCTTTCACACTGCAAGGATACTGTTCTTAAAATAGAGATTGTATTAAGTTTTGAAATAACAGATGCCTGCCTTATTTCACAGTTGAAGAAAACTGCATAGGTAGTGTTCTGTAGTTATGCCTTTGTTTTCTCTGCCTACAGGGAGCAGGCACTCAGGAGAGTGTGTTGATTGAGATCCTTTGCACAAGGACAAACCAGGAAATTCGAGAAATAGTGAACTGCTATAAATCAGAATTTGGAAGGGACATCGAACAAGACATCAGAGCAGACACTTCAGGACACTTTGAGCGATTGCTTATATCCATGTGCCAAGTGAGCTTTAATTTTTAAATTTTTTTTTCAGTAAGATAACAGTGTACAGTCTGATGTGTGTAGTCATAATGGCTCCATAAATAGCCTGTGTATGCTTAGCAAGAGCCAGGTTTTTAAGAAATTAGCCCTGGGTCATTAATTTATTCCCTAAGATACGACACTTCAGTCCTTCCTTAAGAGATACTTCCTATCTTCAAATCTATGATGAATTGTGTGACCTAATTTAGCACCCTAGATTAATTTCAGAGAACTTATGTGTAAATACTGTGCAGATGCAATCGAGTGGTTCTCTAAATCAGTGGTCCACACTGCTGTTAAAGCAAGATGCTTTTTATTTTTTGCATACAATAACAAAATAATTTGTGTGAATCTGATTGGATAACCTTTATGGTACATAGAATGCCTGTGAGAATCCCTGTGAATAAGCTAAGAGGTGCCACAGGGCAAAACTTACCTCCCACGTTACACCACAGCCTTCCTTCCCTTCACACCACGAGAATTAGGGAGGTGCTGCTCAGGTGAACACTGGAGCTTGCTTATCCCATATCATTTAGTAGGGCTCATTTTGTGTTGAAGAATAGGAACTTGTGGTTATCCGTATTTAGGAAGAAATATGTAACTAATGCAACTTTCCACAGTTCTCTGATCAATATGACTATTTCTGTTAGAATTACTATTACACTTCTCTACCTCACTGGCCTCTACCTTTGTGAGAGTTCAGCTATGCACTAGGTATTTGGATTTAAAAGTCAAAATCCACAAGAAAGCAAACCTGGAGAAGCTCATGCTGCTAATTTTTATTTTGATAAATCCAGCAGTTTACAGTAACCGACAACCACATAATTTAAAGAGTATATTAACCACTATAGATACAACAGTATTTGAGAACATGTATTCAAGCCTACTCAGCCAGTATATTTAGCAGTATCCATCCATGCACTGGGCAGCAAAAAACCAGAACAACCACCAAAGCATGTAAAATGTCACAGAAGCCCTACTGACATAACTGTAGTAAGTGCTTTCTGGAGACATTCTTACTTGAAATAAGCAACTTCTAAATAAAGTAGGAGACCTGAGATATTTCAGGTGTGCATATTCAGTAAGATAATTCATTAGTTTGTTTGGGAAGAGTCTTTGCAACTTGAAGCCTAGAAACAAACAAATCAAGAGAA